GCAAAAGATGAGTTTCTTACATTTATATAAGAAATATACATCAAACCTATGTTTTGTAGACTAAGAATGCGTAGTTCACTGTCCAGGTCAGTTTGACAACGTTTTTGATTTTCTTTATAGAAGCAGCAAGCTGAGTAGATAAACAATGGATGGCAGCTTGCTACCAAAATAGATTTTCCCCAAGAACACGTTTGTTACCTTGTGTTATGTAAATTCTAGTTGGCTCGAAATTTAGCTCCATTTGGTTCATTTCAGAATGCTCTTTTTGCACAGTAGGTTTGGAAGTCATTACTTTTTTTGGAATTAGTTTTGAGTCAGAAGATGTGTTCAGTGGGAGACTGAAAAGGGGAATCACACGTGGAAGTATTTGGTAGAGGGGGTAATAACCCTTAAAAAAATAATTTTATTTATAATTTCCATTTATATACATTACAACAATTCTTCAACAAACATTCTGACATTTCAAACTTTGACTTCCTTCCTTCTCGTTCTGTGGTTCTTTGCATTTATTTTCATCATTTCCAGCATACTCCAAATTATCTTAATTTATTCTTTTCTTCATCTATTCTCATATCTATCTCATATACATTTTTGAAACTGCAAGTTTTTACAATAATCCTGCCAATGTCTTGATCTCTTTACAGTTTGTTTGTAAATACTCAATAAAACATTTACATTCCTTTCTAAAGAGTTTATTTTATTGATTTCTTATTCTTCCAGTAAGTTTCACCATTTCTGCATACTCCATTACTTTTTGTAGCCATTCTTCTCTCGTCAGGACTTCTTCTTTCCATTTTGGGGCAAATAACATTCTTGCAGCTGTAGTTGCATACATAAATAAATTTCTATACTGCTTAGGTGGTTCTGATCCCATAATTCCCAAGAGAAAAGCTTGTGGGTTTTTTTTTACAAATGTTATATCAAATATCTTTTTCAATTCATTATATATCATTTCCCGGTAAGCTTTAACATCACTTCAAGACAACCACATATGAAAAATGGTACCTTCTTTCTTTTCACATTTCCAGCACTTACTCAATTTTGATTTATACATTTCCATATTGTCCATTTCATATCCTTTTTAAATAAGTCATTCAAATGATGATATTGTAACCATGTTGTTAACATCCATGATAAATCTTTAAACTCTTTTAGTTTAAATTCTCTACCCTCCTCTCTTAGCAAATTTCTGTCATATTTTTCTTCTTCACTGCTATGACTTCCACAGGTGAAAGCCAAAGTGGTGTTTTGATCTCCAATATATTTTTATATTTGTACCATATGCTATACAATTCCCCCCCGAATTATATGGTTTGCAAAACATTTATGTACTTTCACCTTTTCATACCACAGATAAGCGTGCCAGCCAAAAATATTATCGTGAACTTCCAAATCTAAAATATGCAGATTCTTCAATAACAACCATTCCTTCAACCAGCACAGACAAAATGCTTCATAATATAATCTCATATCCAGCAGGGAGAAACCTCCTCTCTCTTTCATATCTATCAGTATTTTATTCTCGTTTTCTCCCTTGCCAGATATATTTAGAAATTTCTTTTTGCCATTTATTGAAACAATCTGTCTTGCCAGTCACTGGTATCGGTTGAAACAAAAATAGCATTCTTGGTAATTCATTCATTTTTGTGGTCAACACTCTACCCAGCAGTGAAAGTTTCATTCTGCCCCATATTTGCAAATTTTCATTCTGCCCCATATTTGCAAATTTCTTTGAACATCCTCCCAATTTTTCAAATAATTCTCTTTATACAAATTTATATTCTTTGCTATTATCCATACACCTAAATATTTAACCTTCTTTTCAATCTTTAGACCTGAAATATATTTTTAGTTGAGAAATAACCCTTGTGCCAGAACAAGGCTGAAATAATTGAAACAGCTTTGGGGAAAGGGCTACTATATACATATTGCCTACTTCAGCTGAGTTTATATAATGTGACACTCCCAGGATAATATATTCATGCTGTATAAGAGCAGGAATTCTGTTTTAAATATAACCACCTAGTTAGCATCTATAACATCTAGGGATGAATCCAGCAGCAGATTCATATGCTGTCTACTATCTGGAATGCAAGCAATATTCCTGAGTATATTTTACTGCGTGATGTCCACATTCACTTATATATGGCTGTATTTATCCTTTTTGTTTTGCAAGAGACTGTATTTCAAGGTTGCATTGAGTCTCCTATGTCACAACCCCTAAATCCGCAGATTCTTCTTTGTCTAACCATTCCAGCCATGACTGGTCCTTAAACATGCTTGCATGTCTGTGTGGGACAAGTTTCCTAAAGTGTTTTGGGGTTTTTTTTGGTCAAAATACAAAAATGCACTCTCTCTATTCTCTGTGAAATGGAGCATTGCAGGATAATTTGATATGGATTATTCTTCTTGCTTTACTGGGCTGCTCAATTAAATACTCTTTGAGTCAGTGTAATAATGTTGCCTTTCACAGATGGTTTTGTTCAGCCGTAGTGTCTTGTCTGGGCTATAGATTTTTTTCTTACCTGCTTCTAAGTCTCCTTGTATGTTTCCCACCATGCAGCAAATAGCAGCTTCACAGTATGTGGTTTTAATGGAGGGAAATGGCGTGAGGGGGAAAGGGTTAACCCTAGCCTTGCAACTGTTCACAGAGCAGCTTTTAAAAACCCAGTTCTTTTGCACCTTTATTTTTCTCCTGCCTTTTCATTGCCATGATTCAAAACTGAAAGACTTGTTTTTCTTCAAGTTTTGTTTATTGGATAACTTTTTAGATCCTAATAAAACATTGATGGTACTAACCCCACGGGAGGTTTGGGTACAGCAAATTTATTCAGTTCATATTTCCTGACAACTGCGGGGATCTGATGTAAAATAAAATGCCTAAGACATATGTATCTGATTTTCTGATGTTCTGGAGTTCTGTCAACAGTGGTTTGGGTCATATTTCTTTGCTCCATCACTGATGCTCCCACAGAGTTCAAAGCTCATCTGTGTGTTTATATCCCCAAGCAGTGCCTGGTGGTTACTACCAGAGACTCAGGTGCATTTACACTAAATTTGAATGGGTTGACACTGTGGCTTGGACATGCGTGTTGTTGAACTATTGAGCAGTCTCAAATGGTGCCTTTAGCTTTTTCCAGTGGGAAGCTTTTGTAGCAGTGGTTGGGCTAATTTCAAACTCCCTCTTCCAAAAGGTCCAACAGAGCAAGAGGGTTGAGGGAGAGAGAAAGAGGGAGAGGAGTCATGCTAGATATTGGGCAGTACTTGTTTTTATTTTTGATATTTACACCAGCAATTCTTGTGAATAGACTGCAGGTTGGGCAGACAGCCCACTCCATAATCCTGTTTGCACCTCATAGCTCAGAGAAAGCACAGCCAAAGTTTGGATTCCCCCACCCCCCTCTGAAATAAGCCTAAATTAGCATATATAAAAATATGAATCGGCATAGTCAAATGTTGCACCCCAAGTCTTTTTAATTAGCTAGCAATTGCTCTGCTTTCAAGGTGGCACATCTCTTGGCTTCACCTTACAGTTTTCTGTAGAGGCATTCCTGGATTCCAGTAGACAAGCCTTTGCTTCCAGGCAGCCTCATGTTTAGGCCAATTCCATTCTTTTAAAAGAAGTGACCAGCTGAGGAGTAAATCGTCTCGAGACTGAGATGCAAAGCATACAGTGGGGCAGGAGAATAGGTCACTTTCAAGCTGGTCTCAGTCTGTTCCTGCCATCCTTAATAGACAGCTCCAGAGCAACCCTTTCTCTAGGTTACAATTGATGGACACATTCACCAGCCCTGTGTCCTCTGCTTTACATCTCAAATATCTTGGGGGTTGCCTTTGGAAGGAACTTGTTATGCGGAACTGGATGTGCACTTTTCGACTGGGTCTCTTGAAATTCAAATGCACCAACGCAGCATTACTATTCCATCTCACCCTGCTCCATCCATCACAGTCAGTCTCTTCCTTGTTCATGTTCTCCTGGGCCTTTACTGTTTTGTCCCTGAAATGGAAGATGTCTCATGTTTGCATGGAAAAAAAGCTTGCATTTTAATTCCAAACCTCTCCCTCCCCCCATTTTCTTGTTTATTTGTGTGTGTTTTTACTTCCACTGTGTATTTAACTTTATCCTCCTCCTCTCTTTTTCTTCCCTTTCAATATGTAATCATTTGGCTAAAGGTAACGTTAATTCTGGATAATTGAGTAACATGTTGTTTGTTTCTTGACCATATGTCACTTAGGCCCACCCACTGTATTAGTCTTAGGCCCCTCACACCTTCAGCCCAGGCCTGAGAGAAGGTTTTTTGCCATGAGGGAGAATGTGGTGCACAAGTGCCATTTTCAGCATCAGCCCATGTTTATCGTAGCGTATAGTTGTCCCTTTTATTTTTACATGGACCAATTTAGAAATAAGAAGCTGTGTGGTAATGAGAGCCCCAGGTAAGCTTGGGTTTGTTTGTTTAGGTTACCATCTCCAAGCTGCACATTCTGAATCATTAACTAAAGCCAGTTCTTCTCTAGAGTAAGTCATTTGAGGACAGAGGGTTAAATGTTTACTAGATCTCCAACCCTGTTTTAATAGGAAACATCCCTCTATAGCATTTCTATATACGTAGGCACCGACCATTCAGTTCTGGATGTGTTATTTATAGCAGCCTTCAGAAAGGATGGCACTTGAATTGGTTATGTTGAGAATGTGGATGAAGAATGCATATTGGAGATAGAGAAGGTGAAGGTGTGGATTTGCAAGACAGTTGTCATCCTTGCCACATAAGGCCCATTTTCTTTCCCATGTCACTTGTCTAAATTTATTCATTTTCATTATCACTGGAGGTTGCTTTCCCCCTCCTTGTGAAGTGACTCATAAGTCCACTGATGTCAATCATAGTCTTCCCACTAAAGTAAATGGATTTTGGAAAAGGTTTGTGGGTCGTGTTTGTTGCTAGCTCTCCCTTGGATTGAAATTTTGTGAATTATTAACAGTGGTTTCTTCTTGGACTTCACAGATGATTGACGGAACGTGGATTATGTACCCCAGTGAGTTCACAAATCATATATATGCAGCTTTCTTGATGCACATCATTAATGCAAACCCACAAGGTATCATGGAACAGGGTTGTTTCTTTCTTGCATGCTTAACTAATTTATTAACAAATATCTGAAATATTCCCTTCAGAGGGTGACTTTCCCATAACAGAACCAGGCTATTTATATACAAAAACAAAAGAAATGAGCCACCAAGATTTCTTCTTAATTTGTGCTTAGTGCCTATGAATTTGGTATACATAGTCATAAAGGGAAATGCAATCTGTGTCTCATTTAAGATAGAAGTCAGTTTGGGGCATTATGGTATCTTTCATGCTCAGAGAGAATGTGGGTTTAGGAAATAAGCTGCTCAAGTTGTCAAACAGCTGCTGCCTGTGTGTGTGTGTGTGTGTGTGTGTGTGTGTTTAAGGATATTCATATATATATTTATTTTCATGTAAACTCCAGATTATTAAATACGGGAAGTGATGTTTTCTTGGACATGAGCACCAGGCTCGATTACTGCAATGTGTTATAAATGGGGCTGCCTTTGAAACTGTAGCTAGTGCAGAATTCAGCGACCAGATTATTGACTGGAAATAGGGGGTCTTCAACATATAATGTTCACGGCATGACTGCACTGGCTGCCAATAGTTTCAATTTGAAGTGCTGGCTTTGACTTACAAAGCCTTATGTGGTTCACAACCCCAGTACCTTGCCATTCCCTACACGAATCTATATGGACCCTACATTTGTCATCTGTGCCCTCTCTGAGGGAGGTTCGGAGGGTGACACAATAATAGGCCTTTTCAGCAGGGGCTCTCCCAGGTCCTGACACCATCGTTCTCAACAATGATGGGCCTGGCACCATCATTATCAACTTTTAGGTGCTAGTCAAAAAACGACCCTGTTTACCCAGGCATTTTGGTTCTTAATCAGGATATATGGCATGATGATACTTTTGCCTGTTTTGGTGTTCATCTTTTAGAAGTGTTGGAGTAGGATTATTCCCCAGGCTAATCCAAATTCTGTGCCAAGAACAAATGAATCCTGCAACCCATATGAGGTATGTAAATTGGGTAGATTTGCATATATGTTCTTATTTTGTGCATTTTATTCTAATTCTGCAACACATGGGTTGGACAAAGCACTTTTTAGAGCATGACAGTTTTATCATTTAAACCATGGCTAACCAACATGGGCCCCTCTAAATGTTGTTTGACTGCAACTCACATCATCCATGACCACTGACCATGCTGATGAGAGCTGGAGTCCAACAAGATCTGGAGGGCACCATATTGGCTCCCCCTATCTGGAAACATTCCTCTTGCCCATTCCTTTTCCTGCCTCTTGACATCTCACCAGACCTACCTATTTCCAGGCTTAATCTACACATTTATTTAGACTGAAAAGCGACATCATATGGTGAACTTTTTCAAAATGTTGAGTTGTGCACACAACTTGCTTGCACAGAATCACATCGTATGCATAACCCCCCCCCAAAAAAAAGATAAATTGAGGACAAAGGAGTAGAGATGGACTTAGGGGAGCACAGCCAGTTCACCCGCACTAGGCTCCAAGCCGAGAGGGTGCTGCAGGAGGCGACACAACAGTGACTTATAATCTAAGGTGAGAGGTGGTGTGCCTGTGCCAAATTTTGGCATTGCACTGAAATTTCAGGCCCCAAAGTCTGCCGCTGAAAGGAGGGTACTTCACACACAATGCATAATTAACTTAAACAATTTGCTGACAAAAGATGTGGTGGTGGCCTCTAGTTTAGATGGCTGAAAAAAGGGATAGGGCAAGTTCATGGATGATATGTTTCTCCTGATAGCTAAGCAGAGCCTCCTGGTGCAAGGGCAGTATGGCAGCCGGAGCGCCAGTTGCTCAGGAACAACAGCAGGAGTGGTCTCTTGCCTTCAGGTCCTGCTTATGGGCTTCCTAGAGGCATCTGGGTATGTACTTTGTGAAACAGGGTGCTGTATCCTTACATTCTTATGCAGAGATACTGAACAATGGCACACTGTTGTGCCAGATGGGGAAAAGGTGATGTTTAGCAGTCAGGCGTAAAAGGTATGTAAACCAAATAGTAACAAAAACTGCTGTGCTCCAGAGCAGTTTGACTTCCTGCGGAAAGACAAGGGGCATAGTTTTAACAGGCAACATGGGACCTAGATCACCAAATTGCAACGTCTAGGAAAGATGGATGGGAGAGAAGCCTTCCTTGATAGCTTTTGAAAACACAGCCTTATCCTATTTGAATTACCCCACTTCTTTCTCTGTCTCTGGAGAATGATTGCTGGTGATGCAGTTCAAAGTGAAAGCACTGGGGATCTCTTGGATGTTGGGAATAGCAATACCTCTGCAAGAAATGCTGATTAATCTGAAAGGGGGAATGATAACAAATGGCACCTGGCTTTGACTTTTAAGAGGGCAATAAGTCGTTGGAGGGCTTCCTTAATGTGCCCTGGGATGCCAATGACTAGCAGCTGTTTAGATCTCATTTCCCTTCTGGTCTAACTGCGTTCTCATCAGCAGCACATTAAGCAGAAACGTACGACTTGGGTCTTATGAACAGAATGGAGCTTTCCCAGCATATCTGGCTCAACAGAATGCTCACAAATGGCAGAATACTTGGTTTCTAACATCTGTTGGGATCTTTGCTGGGCACAGCCAGCTGTTGAGGCAGAATATTTCGTGTGCTGAAAAAATAAATAAAAGGAAAAAAACAATGAAATCCCTAAGCTCACAAGAGCCTTGCCATTTCACACATGTGAAAAAGTGTTCACTCATTTCCGCACAACCATTCAAATGTTTCAAAAATAGGTTTGAGTTATTAAAAAAAATTAGTACAATGTCAATTTCAGTGGTGCTATTGTGTCTGTTTTGTGCAGAGATGTCTGACGGATGGTGGAAGTATCTGCTGCTCTGCCAAAGGAAAATGTTACATGCTTCTGGGATATAGAAAGCCAGAAAACAAATCCACTTTTTAAAAAAGAAGAAGAAGGGGGGGCTTTATTTTGACTTTGAGGAGCAGTGTTTTGATGGTCTCAGCCAAACCTTGTGAAAATGCTGTTGCCTTGTAAGCGTCCTTAATTCCTCTGAGGGTAACTGAAGTTGGATGTGTAAGTAAATATGTAAAACAGGCTCCTGTCGTGTTTCTGACTCTTGCATTGTCTGTGAATGCTCAGTGCAAAGGAATTATGTGAATAACTGATGGCTGCTCCAATAATTCCTTTTACACGTCCCTCCCGGCCACTTGCTCAGGCTGACAGCATGTTGCCACTACCCTGCGTGGTAGCCAGGGGTGCCAAGTTGAATAAAATTTGGGTGTGAGTGTGGGTATGGCAGGTAATCGATCACAAGACATGTCACACTATTTGAATGGTAATGCCCATGAACTTGGGAGTGGGAGACGGTCCCCTCAAATATTTTATTGGGGTCTGAAGAGACCTTGGTCCCTCGGAGTTGGCTCCTATGATGGGAGCTCAGTTGCTGTCATGGGCGACAAAAACCCAAGAACTCTGTATGCATTTGGTTTTAGCAGGATATTTGCAGCGCCATGCTGAAACCGCCAGGTGTGCACCTTCAGTATGAGCCAAGCAGAATACCATGCAAATTGGCATTCAGATAACTTTGGATGCGCCTCCTCCCCAACCAAATGCAAGTTAACAATGTGTGGGCTGAGTCGGTGCCTATGGCAAAATGAATATGTGGTTGATTCATTCATTGTCTCTGGAAACCCCAGACCTTAATTCCCCTCTTCCCAATTCAAATTTGCAAAATGAGCCTTGTGTGAAAGATGAAAGGCAGCATCAAATGGGTTAAAACAGAGGACTCGAATGTGGATTTGCTTCCTGAAATAGAAAGGACTTACAGTGTGGTGCACTAGAGGTGCTCTTTCCTGGCTGAGGTCAGATATGCTTAATGAGAGCACACAAGGGCAGATGCCCATGGAGAGATGAAAGCGTGCTGACATGAAGCGGGTAGCTATCCAGGGAAGGATAGCAAAAAGGCAGAGGCCAGCCCTAGTGGGGAGCAGGTGGAGTGAGGCAAGGGGGAGCCCATAAAAATGATTTGAGCCCATGAAGTCAGTATTCCAAAGAGCTGCTGTTGGTACAAATGGCTTCATCCCATATCCTGGGAAGTGTGCAGTTTGAGTCCATCTGTGGTCAGCAAACTGGAAGCTAGAAAGCTGCTAACAGAACTGGGAAATGTTTAATACAACGTAAGAAAAAATATAAAAAACAAAGACTCTGAAAAAAACACCAGTGGCTTCACAGATAACCTTTAACTGTGCTTATTCATTTAGAGAACCTTAAACAGAAAGGGTTGGGGTGTGTTTGTGCAGGAGCTTGACTTGACAGCAGTTGTCCTTTGGGTCTGCTAGCTGCAGCTATGTAATAAACAAATCACTGAGCCAGACTCAGAAACAAAATATAAGCTACCTACCCCTCCCCGCAAATGTACAAAAAAACCAAGCCACACATTTTCACAATACTTTCATGGAAAACATTATTGTTAATGATTAACTTTCTGAAACATTTAGCAGTACTTCAGCTTTAAAGGCAAATGACTTAGGACTTATTCTGATCTTGTTTGTATTGAGACATATTTAGAACAACCTGTCCAGAAGACAATCGGATCACATTGGGGCAGTGAGTTTAGGATGACTTCTAATTCTGTTTGCAGTTGAAAGAGCAAGTCATACAGTTTAATTGCTCAATGTTGGTATCATGCAACATGATTGGATGGGTGTATTCCCTCTTCTTCTAAAAGGGTAACCTCTGCAAACTTTGCAACAAATAATATGAACAAATGACCTATATAATTCTGAAGTGAACTGCTCCATGCTCCAAGATATAGGATAGACTGTGATGTCTTGATCAATTATGCACCATCCTGAGGGTGAGATACAAATGGGATATTGCTAGCACCTTTATGTCTTGAGAGACATTGGAGTGTGTCTCCAGGAGTGAAATCTAAACCACTGGAGAATCACAGCGCCTGCTGTGGCTGCAGAGAGTGACAACAAGACTCTCCTCTTGGCCTTGCTGGTGTGGTCCAAAGCAAGGAAGAGCAATACATTTTGCACCAGCTTGGCTGCAGGTGTTGCCAGAAGGAGGCGTACGCCTTCCAGCTGTCTTAGGGACTCTACACCTGATTTGTGTAGGGCTTACTCTTGAGTCTTTTCTTCTCCCGAAGATGTCCTGCAAGGCAGCATTCCAACAAATGGGATAAAGACATAACTAATAATTCTTGACCAAAGGTTGTGGGAATGTCACTTGCTCTTGGTCACATAGTAATGGTAAGATGATGGTGTGATTACTACAGCTTCTGGACAAGTGAAAAGTGTTAGCCTGCCATTTCAAGAACCCCCAGACCTTTCGCTGATGCACATTACCTATTTCATTGCTATGACTCTTGAAATCTGCCATGATAAGTAGATAACATGCCATGCCCTGTGGGCGAGGATTTCCAGAGGAGTCCTGCCCCTGTAAATATTTAATAGAGATTTCATCTTGTACCTCTTGTCTGCTCGCTTGCATATTCTGACTTCTTGTCCCTGAATGGTTGGTTAGCAGCTACCTCCCTAATTATTGAACCTTCAGCTCTACTTGTATGTTCTTTGCTGTGTCTTGGGGGCGGGGGTGTCCTTGCCATCATTGCAAGGAAATTGCATCTAGGAATAACAATGAAACGTTAGACAAAATAAATATAGGCAGCTTTATGTGTCTGTAGCAAGGGGAAATAAAGCATCAGTAGCATAACACTGCTATTTGGACCAAGTGAAAGTTACACCATAGTGAACTACTATTGGAGTTTCAGAGAGTGAGCCAAAGAAGGGGGACAGGAGGAATTAAAGAGGTCTTGCTGAGAAAGGGCCTGGCGGAAGTCCATCTGCAGTGTATAACATATTAGGTTTCCACTTGAGAGGCCCTTGAGGATTGGGATGCAAACCCCCTCCCTCCCATATAAATATATCCTTTGCAGCCAAACCTCATAAACCAGGCACCTCAATTTTATGTGAAAATTGCTAACCACAGAGACACCAGGTTATTTATGGAGAAGGTTTTCTTGGCTTGTGTTTAGAATAGAAATGTGTTGTGCATTTGAGCCATCTTGGGTTTGTGCTTAGAAAAACAAACCCAGATGTCTCTGTTTAGTGACCACAAAGAGGCAGAACTAGACACTTTAATGAGGAGAGCCTCTTGTTCCCCTTCTGTGGTCAGTTGGGGGCATGCGTGCAGGGGGTACTGAAAGGAGGAAACAGGCAGACTGGACAGGTTGTGTGTGCTTTACAGCACCTGCTGATAGATCCCTGCAAGTGCATGCCAAACAATTTTATTATGTCTCTTTCTCCCCCCCCCCCTGCAAGCTGGGCATTTGCAGGGGAGAATGGGCAGGCATGGGAGGGGTTCATTCCTCAGCCCCTCACCTGACAGTCCTGCCCTGCAAGTGCCTCTCCCTCCTGCACAAACCTTTATCTTGGCAAAATTTGGGGTTGGCAATATAATGTCTTGTTCTGCCCTTAGAAGAAGGGCCCTGCCAGAAAATGCATTCTAGGTGGTCTGTCTATTGTGACCTATCGTTATATTTTAATGAGAGACATCAGGAGAGGTAACTCTGCCTCTAGGGTAGTTTTGTGCCAATTTCTCTGCCTTCACTTTTTTTAAAAAATAAGTCTTATAGGGAATAATTATTTCAAACATATTTAAAAGTTTAAAGAACTATATGACACAGAGATGTATTTCTTTCTTTTCTTTTTTGCTGGCTTCTGGACCATACAATATGCCACAAATATTGGCAGCTCTCAGAGCTAACTCTGATTTGCATGTACGCAAGGTGCTTGTCTGCTCCAGTCCCCAGCTTGACAGGCAACTATCTCTCTCCTCTTCATCTGTTTTTTCCTTCTTGAAGTGGCTCAAAGGGAAAGGTATGAGTGTGGGAAGATGCAGGAAGCAGCGGTGGCAATGGCTAGCATCTCTCAGGTGTTCAGATTAGCAGAGTGGGCCCCTCTTGGTAGTTCCACTGCCCTCAGAAGCTTGGGGAAGATGGTGGTGGCTTGGAAGAGGGCAGTCTCTGTGGCACTGTGGCAGCCCCCAAATTATGGGACTCCATGCCCACAGAGGTGCATCTGGCACTTCAGTATACAGCTCTCACAGAGCCTCCAACGATTGAGGTGCAATCTACACACATATGAAAAACACTGTGAAAAAACATTTTGAAAAATATATTGAATTTGCCATAGCTTATCATCGCCATCTAGTGTCAAATTTGTATATTGCACTTTGCAACATACCGGTACTTAAAACATTTTGTTCGCAGCTGTATAGCTGAGTCCTGATGAGTTGGATATTTTTCGGACCCACCTTATTATTGTGATAGGATTTGCTTTCAATTGCTTTTAAAGTACAGTGGTACCTCGGGTTAAGAATTTAATTTGTTCCAGAGGTCCGTTCTTAACCTGAAACTGTTCTTAACCTGAGGTACCACTTTAGCTAATGAGGCCTCCCACTGCCGCCATACTGCCGCTGCATGATTTCTGTTCTCATCCTGAAGCAAAGTTCTAAACCCAAGGTACTATTTCTGGGTTAGCCGAGTCTGTAACCTGAAGCGTCTGTAACCTGAAGTGTATAACCCGAGGTACCACTGTATTTACAATGGCTGTGACCTGCCCCGGGACCTTAGGGTAAAGGGCAGGTTATTAATAATCATAATTATAATAATAAGGTGGGGGATAGCCGCAGAATTCTGTCAGAAACACTACTTACTTGCTAGAATTAAATGAGTCTGGGGAAAGTGACTATTTGATGGGTTTTTCTTTTCATTCTCCTATGGGCAATGCTTTCTCGACAGTGCCTCTTTCCCCCCTGAGGTATAATCTGAAATCTAGTCTTCTTCAGACCTTGGTAAAATATGCTCAAGGGAAGCCTTCAAAAGAAAAATTCCCCACAGGAGAATGACAAGGAGTGGGGGGAATCATCACATGATTTTTGTTTCTTGTCATCAGTTAATGAAACTTGCTTTTCTGATTCCAAGATACCCAGCCGTCATCACTTCAGATTTCTGTCCTAGAAAATCTAGATGGGTTACTGTAACCCTCTCTGTAGCCAAGAGGATTCCTGCTGCTTGTATATTACAAAGTTTTAAAGAGAGGGAGACAGGAGAAGTAAGAAGGCAAGTTACAATGCTTGAGTGTCAGAACACAGCAGTAGTGGCCTCTTGAAAGGTCACTTCACTAATTTAAAGGAGACATTAGCTGCTGCTTAAGGGAATTACCTGAGAAGGTTGTGTGTGTGCAAAATGACAGAAAGAGCCAAACTGTTCTGTGAGTGAGAGGGTGCACGGAGGAAAGTAGTAAATGAGGAATAGGGATAAATTCATCTCCATGGTGATTTGTTTTTCTTCTAACAAAACCCAAACAACTCTCAGAAAAGTGATAGAAGCCAGCTTCCCCTGCTCAAAAGTGGGAACTTTTCTGAGCTGGGAGCAATAATTATGGCCTAGCTTTGGAAAAAGAACAAAGGGTGCAGAGTTTTCTAGCTCAATTTAGAGGTTACATAAATGGCAGTATAAATTACCCATCATTAAGTGGAAGTATAAATTACATGCCAAAGGGCTGGAAGATGGAGGGGACGTCGCATGAGAAGCAGCTGAGAGGGAAGGTCTGTGATGCAGTTGTAAGAAAGTTGAAACCTGTACATTTACAATTGGCTTTTAACTGACTTCTCTGCTGTACTGATGCTGCTTTTTGGTGCTTGCTAGGAAAAAGTGGGACAAAGCTGTCTGGTTCTTCTTATTTCAGAGGCGCCTTTCATGATTTATAGCAGGGTCTAAAAATGTGCCTGATTTACAGGAGGATAATCATTGATCGTCCAGATCTATATGAATAAACCCAGAACATGGAAGCCAAGTTAGGGTAGTGCTAGGGCTAGATTAAAGAGCCGGTGGCTCTTGGCAGAATCATTTTATGGAATGCCACTTGTTTTTGACCCATTAACTACACCTGTCTTTGCCAGCATTCACAAACAGAGGTTTGCTCACCAATTAAATTTCCGCCTTTTAGAGTGGAAAACCTCTTAGGTAGTTAATTATACCCTAAACAAGGTTTCCAATTCGGCTGTTGTTGTGCTATTTATGCAGCTTTATGGTTAATTTAGTTTGCAACACTATAGATTTGTTGGTGGAAAAATGCATATTTGCTTATCAGAAACCTGGCTGAGTGAGAAGGAAATCCTTGGCTCAATCTCATATAAGCTATGAATTTATTAAATAGCGGAAGCTGCTATTTTCTCTGCTCCAAGATCCCAAATGCAATAAGGGGGTTATACAGTCATACCTTGGGTTGAATGTGCTTCGGGTTGAGTGCGTTCGAGTTGCGCTCCGCGGCAACCCGGAAGTAACGGAGTGCGTTACTTCCGGGTTTCGCCACTCGTGCATGCGCAGACGCTCAAAATGACGTCACGTGCATGCGCGGAAGCGGCAAAACGCGACCCGCACATGCACAGACGCACCGTCGCGGCTTATGTTGCGTTCAGGATGCGAACAGGGCTCCGGAACAGATCCCATTCGCATCCCAAGGTACCACTGTAATACTGACTGGCCATTGAAACTGGCCAAATCACTGTGCAGCATCACAACTTAGTTTCCATACTTTCCTCTCCTTTTCTTCCCTCAGACATCGAGAAATCCTGCTGCAGACTTGTGTTTGAAGCCTCTTCAGAGAGTTGTATAAACTCACTGTATCCCCATTCCCTGTGTGGAGCCTGATTTAATACCCGAAGTTCAACGGACATTATGGCCCTCTTGCTCCTGTCCATGAATGCCATAAACCATGAGGCCCGGTGCATTTGTACCCTTGTATATCCCACCATTAGTGGCCCTGGACATGGTTGTTGTAAGGATTACTTTGATAATTAATGGAAAGCACTTTGTGCACTCTAAACAAGTGCTATATAAATGAAATCAATGTCTATTGGTTCATTATATGTGACAACGTACACATTCAAAATAAAAATTGCAATTTGGTTGTGACTTACCTGTCATTTGATTAAAGCCCACCAACAGGACTTCTTATTATTAGTAGTGTTGTTGTTGTTGTTGTTTTATTAACAGCTCATAACCCTAAGGTCCCAATGCAGATTTCAACAATTAAAAATGAAAGATTGAAACCAATTTTTAAAAACTTACTGTTTGTTATATATTAAAAAACACAATATAAAAAAGCAATAAAAACAAAAACATCTTTTAAAAAGTAATGACAATTTATACAAAGGCTTCTATTTTGATTTCAAATCTTTCTTCAATAGAAATATTTCTGGGCCTTTTCTGAAAAGATGGAATGGTGGTTGTGATATGTATTCAGGCATTCATATGCCCAGTGTCCACCACACCACTTTAAAAAAAAAAAAATACGGGACGCGGGTGGCGCTGCGGGTAAAAGCCTCAGCGCCTAGGGCTTGCCGATCGAAAGGTCGGCAGTTCGAATCCCCGCGGCGGGGTGCGCTCCCGTTGCTCGGTCCCAGCGCCTGCCAACCTAGCAGTTCGAAAGCACCCCCGGGTGCAAGTAGATAAATAGGGACCGCTTACTAGCGGGAAGGTAAACAGCGTTCTGTGTGCTGCGCTGGCTCGCCAGATGCAGCTTGTCACGCTGGCCACGTGACCCGGAAGTGTCTTCGGACAGCGCTGGCCCCCGGCCTATAGAGTGAGATGGGCGCACAACCCTAGAGTCTGTCAAGACTGGCCAGTACGGGCAGGGGTACCTTTACCTTTATGAAAAAAATAATGCTTGAATTTGCTCTCCCTCCTCCGTTATCTCTCACTTTTGCCTGCTGTATTTTATCTATTAGATCATAAGCCAGTGGGCAGGCAGTCTCTTTAAAAATAAATAAATCTCTGGACACTTTAATTATGATGAAGATTAGAATGATGGAGAATCTGCCTTGGATTTGCTGTTTAATGTAGGCAGGCTAAATTTCTCCAGCGTCATTTCTGTTGCCGTCAAAGACAGCCTTCTTTTTAGACAAGCTATCATCGATACAACAAATGTTAGAATCCAATGAAGAAGCTATCAGATATGCATGATAAGACTTTAGCAAAACTGCTTGTTAAACATTTTGCTGCTAAAAGTACAAGCATGCAATCTGCCTTTTGAACTCTAATTGGACCGCATAAGGCAGAAAACTCTGCAAAATACAGGAAATTAATCACTATCCAACAGGGAAGATCATTTGGGAAGATAGAAGCATCCTCTGTAATCGTCACCGAAGCCAAAATGGCCAATACTTTTATAAACTGCTTTACCCAATGAATTAATGCTAGCAACAGGCAAAACTACTAAGACAGTCTGCAGGAGTGGGAAAGCCATGGCTGCTTAAAGTGGTATGAAGTTAAATGGTAAGCCCACTGTTGTAGGAGAAGGTCTTCCCATAAATGGGTGAAAGCCAGATTGTGACTGACTGATGGGTGGCAATTTATTTTGATATTATATATTGTGTTGTCAAGGAGTGGCTTGTCTCCTGGTGTTTTTGCACTACACTCTTAGTAGAGAGTGGATTGAGGGATTGGTGATAGTGGTTTTGGTGACTGAGAGTGTAGGAGCGATTAATCCACCAGCAAGGAAGTTTCTAGGTAGGGTGGCCTTACTTTGCAGTCATTATTACAGACAACTAGCCATTATTTCTGTATTGTATTTGCATTTATACATATACATTGGCAAGCACATTTTTTAAAAAGTGTGCCCTATTTTTGACCTCTTTTGGGGTGATGCTTTTTTTGGGGAGGGGGAGCAATGTAAAAATGGCCACTCTGTTTCCATATGCATCTTGCTGCTTGTAGGAGGATGAAGTCTTTCCTGGCAAGCAGACCTCCTTTCAAGGAGTTTGTAGCCTCTTACTGCCATGAATACACTTGTTTCTTTCTACCTCCCAAAGTAACAGGCTAGAAAGCAAAGGGCTCAGCTCTATAAAAATCTCCACTGGTAGGCTTGAAGTAATGATAGCACATGTACCCTTAATAAATACATTCCTTTTATTTTGAAGTGGAGCCAGCAGTCTCAGTAAAAACGTAAACCAGCACAAAATCCTTGCTAAGCATGCGTTAGACTTGGACCTTTTACAAGTGCCAAAAAAAGGTCAAATCCATTTTTGTTGTTGTTTATCTTTTTGCTGCCACATTTCTCTCATTTCTTCCAAGACACGATGCAGAAATAACTCAGCTCTACCCAAAAGGATATTGCCATAAAGCTCTAATTTAGAAAATAAATAAATGGCAGAGCATCTGTCAGGATTAGCTCCTATGTACTAGTTTCATTTGACCTAAACATGACCTTTTCCTTAGAGTAGATTTAGTGTAATTCCTTTAGCTTGATTTTTAGCTGATTATCTGAGCTGGAGGCACATTGCTTGCACCCTAGGTCAGGGCTTAGCAATTTATTAACCCAATTCAGATATTACTACTATTTAGCACCTAATTAGGGACACGGGTGGCGCTGTGGGTTAAAGCCTCAGTGCCTAGGACTTGCTGATCGCAAGGTCGGCGGTTCGAATCCCCGCGGCGGGGTGTGCTCCCATCGTTCGGTCCCAGCGCCTGCCAACCTAGCAGTTCGGAAGCACCTTCGGGTGCAAGTAGATAAATAGGGACCGCTTACCAGCGGGAAGGTAAACGGCGTTCCGTGTGCTGCGCTGGCTCGCCAGATGCAGCTTGTCACGCTGGCCACGTGACCCGGAAGTGTCTTCGGACAGCGCTGGCCCCCGGCCTCTTAAGTGAGATGGGCGCACAACCCCAGAGTCTGTCAAGACTGGCCCGTACGGGCAGGGGTACCTTTACCTTTACTAGCACCTAATTAGTGCCTACAGTTCCCAAGGCACCTCTTACTCTAACTGCCATGTTGTTCTGTCCTGACTATTCCCTCCTGCATATTGCCTGACTAAGGTAGCTCCACATTTGATAGGCCACTCCATATGTAGGTCCCCAGAGGTGCTGCCAGGTTTGAGGGAGCCCTGGTTGAGTTGCATGCTGCCTATCTGGTGATCATTTGAGGTGCCCCTTGGCTGTATGGTCATTGGGAGGGGGGGTAACAGCACTACTGTGCTTGCCATGTGTAGATCTCTGTTGCAGCAGACATCAGTACTGCTTGAAGCAAACATGTAAAAAAACCTGTGGGTGGCAGATGCGTGTCTTGTACATGTACTGTGGTTCATTCAGGGTTTTTAAATATATGTTGGTATGGCACTGGTGTTTCATAAAGTGACACAAATGCTTCATATTGTATGTTACACAAAATACATTGTTTGGAGCCAACACTCAAAGCAAGAAAAAATTATTTCCTCTTGGCATATCTTAATGCTAGAAGCTGCTGGCACTGTATTAGCTTTTTATGTTTGGTAGTTCCCTAATTGCATTTGCAGCTGTGGTCCTGCAAATACATACTCCAAAGAACATGCAGTTTCAAACTTAAGTCTGGGAAGAAGAAGAAAGAAGAAGAAGAAGAAGAGTTTGGATTTGATATCCCGCCTTTCACTCCCTTTAAGGAGTCTCAAAGCGGCTAACATTCTCCTTTCCCTTCCTCCCCCACAACAAACACTCTGTGAGGTGAGTGGGGCTGAGAGACTTCAAGGAAGTGTGACTAGCCCAAGGTCACCCAGCAGCTGCATGTGGAGGAGTGGAGACGCGAACCCGGTTCCCCAGATTAGGAGACTACCGCTCTTAACCACTGCACCACACTGGCTCTCCACACTGGGAAACAAGAAAGATGGCTCACCACACTGGGAAACAAGAAAGATCTCTGAAGCAATCGAAAACAGGTTTGATTGGGTTGCATGACATTTTAATATAAATCATTGCTGCTCCCACATGCTCAGAAAGAACCTGTGAATACAGTACTTAGCTGTTTTTATAAATCCTGTGGTTTCATTTCCTATACACCTTAACATCTGTGCTCTTGCTGCCATCTTGTTGGAGTTAGTTAAAGAAAGATGTTTACTATTCGATAAATAAGATGAAAGGTTGCAGCAATAATGGTGGCACCTAGGGGCTGGCCAGGTTGACCTTTGCCAAAGATGCAGACCCAGGGGAGCACAAAAATTTCATGTCTCCACTCTAACTTGGAATGGCTCGTATAGCCTGGTCACTTACCCATGTACTCTGCGGGCTGCGTCTCTGCTGCTCTGGGTGGCCAGGCAAAGGTGTGTGTTGCTGGTGTGTGCTCTCGCAGCAGCCCTGCAGGGCTGCCTCCCCAGTCAGCTGGCAGCGCTACTAGAAGTGCAAGCAGAGTGCTAAGTGGGACAAAGAGAAAAGAAAGATGGCAAGAACAGGCGTGAGTTGCAGAAAGAGGGAAAAGGAAGGGAGGGAAGAAGGAGGCAGAAGGAAAAGCAGTGAGCAGAGAAAGACAGGAAGGTAGGCAGACAGATGAACCAGTGCAGGAGAAGGAGGACGTGGGGAGGCAGAGCAGAGCAGAGCAGACCCCAACGGTCGTGGAGGAAGTCACTGGCAAAGCACAAAAGGCAATGAAAAGGAAACTTTTTGAGTTTCTGGTCTATGGTGGCTCTCAACTTTGTAGGTACAGATGCAGCTCCTTGCTGATAGTGCAAGTGACTGGGCAGGTGAGAAGGGCGCCAATAGATCTCCTTGCCAAGGGTGCAAGGGAGGGCACTGATACAGCTCTTTGCAAGGGAGCCTAGGTATGCCTCTGGGTGGCACCCGGGCCTGGTATCTGGATAGCCCTCAGAATGCTGTGGTGATGTGGCTTAAGACTCACAGCTGTTATTAGCCATGTCCCATGGGCTTTGAAAGGGGCACTTCACTGGGAGACCTGCCTCTGACAAAAGCATCCTGGATCCTTTTAGTTGTACTTCAGAGCTGTGGGGGCTCACCATGTGTCAGTGGCAGTGACCTTTTCTGCCTCTCTGCAGGTGATAGTGATGATGGATGAATGGATTACCTGCTTTCCACCACCCTACAGTTCCAGGATGGGCCACAGCAATTTAAAATACATTTTTTAAAACAACAACAACCTGGTTTAAAATAAATTGCAACCACAGTTATAGGGTA